CACAAATCAATAGATAAATTAGAAAATTTATAATTAAAATTTTTATGCAAGAACATTTTAGGTATTTTCTCTCCTCTCTTCTCTCTCCGTCCCCGTCTTCCGGCCACCATCCTTCGGTGATACCACAGTGTGATACTCAAGCACATATAAGATGCATTGTGATACCACTGTGTTATATATCCGATCGACCGCACAAACGACCACAGTATGATACCCAATCACATATATGATGCATTGTGATATCATTGTGGTATCACCGGAGGACGGTGGCCGGAGGACGGTGGTCGGAGGCCGGGGGACGGAGAGAGAAGAGAGGAGATAGGAGAAAGGAGAGAAAATACCTAAAATACCCTTGCATTAAAATTTTAATTAAAAATTACCAAAATTATAAATTTTCTAATTTATCTATTGATTTGTGATTGAGATTGTACCTCACGGTTACCACAAACTAATTAGTTCTCATTTGATTAAGTCCCTATATATGTATGTATAAGTTATGTTTATTAAATCACATTTAAGTATTTAATTACACAATTAATTAAAATAATTAATTAAATTGCTCCACTTCAATTCTTTTAGTTGAGGCATGTTTTTAAGGTTTTTTAATAGCATTTATTATTCACATTGAATGTTTCATTTTGTTTTGTATAACTAATTGTATTTTCCTCCACTTCAAGTGTTTTAGTTGTAGCATGTTTTTGTTGGTATAATGTGTAAATTTTGTATTATGTGAAACCAGCTTGTTTTCATAAGATTTATAAAACCAATTTTTTACACTTGAAATTTCATAGTAAAATACTATGAAGATAACTTTCACATTGTTTTTGCCGTGAATTTTTCTGTGAAGTTTTAAGTGTAAATAAGTGGTCTCACGGGTCTCACGAAAACAGACTGGTCTCACGTAAACCAACCCTATATATATATATATATATATATATATATATATATATATACACATACACATAGGGTTGGGTTCACGTGAGACCAAAGGTTTTTCGTGAGACCCGTGAGACCAATTTATGTTCATTGATCAAATTTATAAGCTAATGGTTTAAAGTTGTACGGTGACAATTTTGTAATTATTGAGAAATTCATGACAATTTTGTGAATATAAATGTTGAGATTATAGATCTAATCCAATTGTTGAGAATTGATCTTACGGGTTTCACGAAAAACCCTTGGTCTCACATGATCCCAAGTCCATACATATATATATATATATATATGTATTAATATATATATATATATATATAGAGAGAGAGAGAGAGAGAGATTCGTTGTATTTGATATACTTATTCTTCATATCATCGTCATGTCACCTAAAACTTATAAATTACTTTCCACATCAACAATATGTAATTGGTTTTCAGTCAAAATGGTTACGAAAAAAAAAATGAAAGTCTTTTACAATAATTACAGATTTTCGTGTCGTTATACTTAATTATCGAGAGTTTGGTAGCGCTTTGATAGTCTTGTGTCGACATCAAAGGCGAATAACATCTGTATTGATTGGTATAAAGCCGATTCTACCATAGTCAATAATTCATTATGATACAATCTGTAAAAAAAAACTGAAATAGTACTACTGATTTAAAGATAATTAAACATTTATAAATAGAAAGCATAGGCTCACAACAAAGTGAGAATAAAATTCGTAGAAAAAGAGATTTTTTTTGAAGTATATAATATTTATATACGGCAAATGCAACAAATAAAGTCATACACCCTCCTTACATTTGGTGGGGTTTAAATCTCTGACCTTTTAGAAGGCAAAAGACTACGATACTGTTGGACCAAAGGCCCTTTAGTTAGAAAAAGAGAAGTTTGTATCCATGATAAAAGAATTTTATGACGAATCTATCCATTTAGGATATATTTGATAAACTAGCTAAAGAGCTGGTTGTACTATGTACATCAGTTCATAACCGAGTTGACAAATGTAAAATGATCAAAAAATACATGTTAAAAAATTACTTAATTTTAATATTTTTTATATAATTAATTAAACAAACCACGAGTACATTTTATCTATACTATATTATAAAGCATTTGATAGAAACTCTTAAAAACCATTTTTTATGAACGAAGTACTGTTTATTGATGCTTATTACCTAAAATTCAAGATTTCAAATAAATTGTGTGTAAGTACGACTTATTAAAATTTCATGTAACTAACTTTAGATAAACATAATCAAATAGAGAATAAACATCTCATCTAAATATAAAAAAACTAAAATATAATAAGAATAATCATTAATTATTATCTTTATAAAAAATTATATTATTAAACCAAAAATAAAAAAAAAAAGAATTAAAAAAATACACAAAAAAAGAAAATTTCTAAATAATTAAATAATTAGTCTGGTACTAATATCAATATCTTTTTTTAATTTTTTTATGATATCTTCATAGTTATATTTTATTCAAAAATAAAACATTATCGCTTTCTCAAAACCAAATAAAACCGTATTATAACATCGACTAAGACAAAAAAAAAAACACTAAAATCGAGATATATCTTGCTGCATTGTACGAGTACCTTTCAAGTATTAAAATAAGTAGTATATAGTTTTTCAATCATGTAGGTTTAATAAACGTCTGTTTTAATTAGTTTATTATTAACAATTTATTAAAATATATGAATTAAAAATTAAAATAAACGGTGTTAATTAATAGTTATATAAATATATTTATTAATTTTATTGCACTTTTTATGTCTTGTAATTTTCATACTTCTAATAAATTTAAATTTTTAAATAAACAAATTTATATCATTAAAAAAATGATATTTACAAATATATGTAATTTATTTAGTGAATAAAGTAATATGATATATTGACTAAACTATTATTTCTAAAATAAATATACTTATTTATATTTTTATAGTATATTATTACAATTTTAGTTTTCTACTGTATCAATTAAATAAGAACAAATTGCATGAAAAATAACGTATTTTAATTTGATTTTTATTTTATGTAACGTACTTTCAAAACTTTTATTTTTGTGCATAAGATGTAAAGCTTTAAACATTTAAGTACCCGAATAACATGTTGAAGCATTAACCGTTTACCATGTTGATGTAGTGAGTGATGTAGTATTCAACTCAGTATTATTTGCTGACATGAATGTCTTAATCTAAAATTAGTTTTTATGTATTGTGGTTTATTAGAAGAAAGAGTTAATGCTTCAACTGGTTACTCGAGTACTTAAATGTTTATAACTTTACATCTTAGGTACCAAAATATAAGTTTTGAAAGTATGTTATCCAAAATAGGAATCGAGTTAAAATACGTTAATTATGCTTTAATAGATGGTAATATAATAATTGTAATTGTTATAATAATTCTAGTAAAAAAATGAGTGAAAATGAATGAAGATATTTGTAAAAATATATATAGGGGTTTTTTGGTCATTTATATCAAATATTGACAGATAACCGATAATAGACTTACATATATCAAATTCATTGTATGCCTTATTACGTTTGGTTTTATGTTTCCTCTGGATACAACAACATAGAAAAGATCAAAGGGTCTTTGGCCTAGCGGTATATGAGTCTTCGGTTTCTTAGCAGGTTAGGGGTTCAAATCTCACCAAAGATGATAAGGTTATGTGAGTTTATTTGTTCTATTTACCGTATATAAATACTATATACTTAAAAAACAGCATGAAAAAGGGGATCCAACAAAACAGATGTTCCACGTGATTAATGAACTGTAGTGATCTTGAACAGGGATATGCACGGATCATAATCAGAATTAGACATTGTATAACAAGATCCCTATCCAACTCTGATGTTTTCGTTTCGCTAACAGTAAAGGTCGAAAAGCAGAAGACCAATTTAAGCAACCTAGCTAATAAACTCAAACTTACCAAAGAGTATTTGACCTAGCGATATCGTAGTCTTTGGCCTCCTAGGATGTCAGAGGTTCAAAACTCACCAAAGATGATAATGGTGTGTGAATTTATTTTTTGCATTTGTTGTGTTTATAGATTTTTTATAATTAATTTTATTATTTCAAGTACTCATAAAAATTGATACATATTTTATATAAAGTTCTAATATTTAATTTCAAAAAGATTTTTATGTGAAATTACATTTGTGCCCATCATTAATTATCATATTCAATACTCATATAAATACCTTTTGATTTTGAATTTTATGAATTAAATAATGAATTGAATTTTGAAAAAGGGAAAGGGAAGCTGTGAAAGAGATGGGATACGTGGCTGTTTTCTGTTGGAAGACAGCTAATATGAAAATAATCGATGCAGAAAGCTATTGATGGAAGGTTGACCATTTGACCACCACCCACACCACCACCCTCCACCGCACACCACCGGTCCCACCCCGCCGGAAATTTATGTTTGTGAATATGAGAGTCGGTATGGCAAATGATGGTATTTATATATATATATATATATATATAGTTTGTTTTAAATACAATCGATCGTATTTGTATAATCAATTCAACCCAATAAATTAAAATATTTATGAAAATGATGAATGTTCATTTATTATGATTTGAATATTTTGGGGTGTCTTATAAGCCCAAATTTGTTGAATGTATAAGAGAAACATTTGAAGCTTCATCATGTGATGCCATCACTCTCTTGTCATATGCCATTAAGTAAAAAGTGAAAAATGGCAACATATACACATATGTAAAGTTACTAGAAGCTCAAAAAGGCCATTTTGACTTTGTATTCTTTCTTTTATATATACATATACATATATATATATATACACACACACACACACACAAACACCAAAGAGTGTGTGTGTGTTTTACGTGTGTTTTAGTGTATATAGCTTTAAAAGAATGGACACGTTGCCATGGAGATTAACACAGGACGGCCACCGAATCCCATTGACTTCCCTCCTTTCTTTCTTGTCTTCTTTTCCTTCTCTCTTTCTCTATATATATACAACTTCTCCAATTTCCATGGACCTACAGCTCTCTCTCTCTCTCTCTCTAGCTCTTTCAAGATCAGAAACAAACACACACACAGATTGATATAAGCTGAAAACACCATGGGAAGATCACCTTGCTGTGAAAAGAATGGTCTGAAGAAAGGTCCATGGACTGCAGAAGAAGATCAAAAACTGATTGATTATATTCAAAAGAATGGTTATGGAAACTGGAGAACTCTCCCCAAGAATGCTGGTATCTTCTTTAATCCATGCCATAGCAATAACCCACAATTCTTTATCTTCTGTCTTGCACATCTCTCTCTCTCTCTCTCTCTATATATATATATATATCTATATATATATATATCTATATATATATATATCTATATATATATATCTATATATATAGAGAGAGAGTGTGTGTGTGGGGCAGAAAACCTAAAAAAGAAATGCAAAACTCAAAGGGATGACCTTAATAACCATTCATCTTTACGACATGCACGTGTTGATACAAGTAATTTGTTGGTATGCACACATGAAACATCTTTAGAGACTTGTATGCACTTGTGAATACCATACAGATGAATGGTAACTATGGTGTTCTTCAATTTCTCTTTTTTAGGGTTATCCCTTTAACTTCACGCACTCTCTCTCTCTCTCTCTCTCTATATATATATATATGTATATATATATATATATATATCATTTTGTTTCTTTGTTTTTTGCGGCAAATAATTGATCGTATTTCGGGTTGGATTTCAATATGCGTAGGGTTACAAAGATGCGGAAAAAGTTGTAGGTTAAGATGGACGAATTATTTGAGGCCTGATATTAAGAGGGGAAGGTTCTCTTTTGAAGAGGAAGAGACAATCATTCAACTACATAGTGTGTTGGGGAACAAGTAAGTCAAATGATTTGTTATTTGATTGATTAATCATTTAAATGGATTTTTAAAATATGGGTTATGTTAAAAATATTATTTTGAAAAAAGGGTTGTAGAAAAAGACTTGAAATATTTGTTTCAACTTGTCTAATTATTGGTGTTTGGTCGTTAATTAAACAGGTGGTCTGCAATTGCAGCTCGTTTGCCTGGAAGAACTGATAATGAAATCAAGAATTATTGGAATACGCACATTAGAAAAAGACTTCTTCGAATGGGGATAGACCCGGTTACTCACAACCCTCGTCTTGATCTTCTTGATATCTCGTCCATTTTAAGCTCGTCTTTTTATAACCAGTCTAATGCCAACATGTTCGGGGTCCAAACAATGGTTAACCCCGAGCTGTTGAGGTTAGCTGCTTCTCTCCTTTCGTCTCAACGTGATCAAAACCCTAGTTTTCTTCACCAAAATGATCAAAAACCCCAATTTGGACAAACCCTAATTCAAGAAAATCATCATCATCATCTTGATCAACTCCAAAACCATGATCAAACCCTAATTCAAGAACTCCCAAGTTGTGTCCCATTTTCTAGTGATCAATCTTCCCAACTCATGGAACCAAATGTAGACCAACTTCCTTCAAGTTTTTCCCATTTTAACCCACAAAATTGCCAATTAAATGAGTGGCAAAACAATGGCATAGGTTTACCTTCTAGCAATCTTGATAACCTTATGGGCATGGCCATGGAGAATTACGGTTTCCAAGGTTCGGTCCAATCCGTTGTTGATCCTCCATCGAATTTGACACCCAACGACTTCGACTTCACATCACATTTGTCGAACCTATCGACACCTTCGTCAAGTCCAACGCCTTTAAACTCGAACTCGAATTCGACTTACATCAATGGAAGCAGCACAGAAGATGAAAGAGAGATTAGCTATGGCAGCAATTTGTTCAAATATGAGTATCAAGAAATCTTGGATTCTAATGTATTTATGTGAGTATGTATGAATATATTGTAATTTCGTTCCTACTACATGATCATAATCGAGAACTCCTTTTTTTTTTTTAATTCCCATTATTATTTCCATTCATTATATATTACACTGCGATAAAATTGAGTTTACAGGACGCCAACAATCTACAACTGTACTAATAGACTGCTTTATACGTTTTAAGTATATATGGAACCAAACAAATAAAGTGTCATATCTAAAAGTGTTGTAATAAGTTTACAAGATGTTTTTTATGTCTTAACAAGTTTTTTAGAACATTTTTAAAATAAAACGTCGTATGAGCTATTGTATAAGACATTTTCAAAAGTGTGCTACAAACACATTTTTACAGGGCATTCGTTTCTACCTTTTTTTTTCAAATAGTGTTCTATAAAATAGATAATACAACACTCCAGTCATGTAACCTATTGACTCAAAGGATGAGATGTTGGCTCAAAAAGCCGTTTTCTCTCATGGGCGCTTTGCCGCAGAGTGACTCTTAGATATATACAGCCCCGTCACACTAGATTCTTTGGGGGTTGGATGTTATGTGGGAGCGATTGGGGTTACCGCTGCTCAACAATTTTTGCTTAAAATAACTGATACGACATTTTATTTTAAAAATCTCTTAAAAAACTTATCAAAACGTTTTGTAAACTTAGTACAACACTTTTAGATAGAGATTCTATAAATCAAAGTGTTATAAAACAGTCTATTATAACACTTATTTTTAAATTCCAGTAGAGTTGCATTATTTGTGATTGAATGCTTCTTCAAATATAATAAAAATGATAATATATTTATTGAATATAAAATAATGGAAATTCCAAATAAAGAATATAATTTAATATTTAAAATAATGCAATAATTAGACCAATTTCTAAGTGTTCAAAGTTGACTTGCATGGCGATCTTGACAGATGTACGTTCACATACTTCACGATTATCTTCCTTTGCATTTATTATCCCATATTTTCATCAAAATTAATATTGGATTTGAAACTCAGCCCCGATCAGCTTTAATTGTTGAGTGAGTCAAAAAATGTTCGTTACATTGATGTCTTTGAAGGCAGGTTATGTATGACAGGTTGGTGTTAATGATAATCAATTTTTTGCCTAGAGATAGCCAATAATAGTCCTGGGTCTTGCCTAGATCGACGTTGATCCAAGAGTTTTGTTTTGTAACCGATCTCATTAATCGTATCTGGTTCCAACCAAAAACACCAAGCTTATTCTCCATATACAAAACCTAGTCCCTAGAACCGGTGTCGGTCTAGATAATGTCTTTGGTGGTGGATTCTGTACGGGTCCAATTAAAATAGTCAGTAATCTACTTTGTATCTAAATAATGTAGAATAACTTGTAAAGTATATTTACGTTCGTAAAAAATAGTAAATTAAAATTGAAGTTGATAAAAGAAAATATTACACTCTAGAACAAACAATAACAAGAGGTGTGTGCATTATTATTGTGCTCCTTTGAGGTCGAATATATATATATACATACATATATATATATATATGGGCAAATTGCATGAAAAAGTAGCGTACTTTAACTTGATTCCTATTTTGGGTAACGTACTTTCAAAACTTTTATTTTGGTACCTAAGATGTAAAGTTTTAAACACTTAAGTACCCGGGTAACTGGTTGAAGTATTAACCGATTATCATATTGATGTGACGAGTGATGTGGTATCCAACTCAGTATTATTTGCTGACGTGGTCAATAACGTGGATTTTTTAAAATCTAAAATTAGTCTTTTTTTTAGTCTAAAATTAGTCTTTTCGGGTTATCCGGGTACTTAAATGTTTAAAACTTTACATCTTAGGTACCAAAATAGAAGTTTTGAAAGTACATTACCTAAAATAGGAATCAAGTTAAAGTACGTTACCTTTTCATGCAATTTGCCCTATATATATATATATAAAGAGAGAAAGATTCATTTGAAAAAAATGATAAATATTTGAGAAGTAAAGAAATTGATCTTAGCATTTCATTTGTTCAACATTTGCAGCTTTGATCATGAAGCATCGGACAATTCCTCACATTAGTACGTGAAAGACAGGGACGGACCCAGGAAACTTTTTCAAACGGTGGCACCATATAATTAATGTAGTATAATATACATCTAAAAATAATTATAAAAAATATGGTTTTTATAGTACCGATAGGGCTTTAAATGAACCGAACGTTCAGCGAACCATTCGGCGAGAAGTAACTTTATGTTCTTTATTTAATAAATGAACGAACATGAACTATTTTCTTTTGTTCGTTTAGTTAAACGAACGAACATGAACAAGAGTCTCGTTCGTTCATTTATGTTCGTGAACGTTCGTTCATTTACCGTTCATTTATATTCGTTTGTTTATATATTAAGTTTAATATATTATCTTTTATTTATTTACTTTGAATTCAAATAATATTCGTTTATGTTCGTTTAGCTCGTTCGTTTATGTTCATTCGTTTATGTTCGTTTAGCATGTTTACGAACGAACCTAAACGAACACGAACACATCTTATTTCTAAACGAACGAACACGAACACAAAGATTTTCGTTCGTTTACCGTTCGTGTTCGTTCGTTTGTTCAGTTAACTTAAACGAACGAACATGAACAAGCCTCCGTTCGTGTTCGTTCGGTTCGTTTACAGCCCTAAGTACCGATAAACAACTTCTAAACTAGTACCCGATGCGTCTTCATCTTTTGAAAACGGTCAATATATACCAAAAAATAATTACAAAAAGTATGGTTTTGGTTATTTGGGCTTTGTTTTGTTTGGGTTTTAGTTGCACCATTTGGATTTCAGAGAAATACGGTAGCACCTTCTAAAACGATACGGTAGCACCGTTAACAAACCTAAATTTTTTACCCTTCGGCCGCAAAATAATACGGTGGCACGTGCCACCCATGCCACCACATTAGGTCCGCCCATGGTGAAAGATAGATGAGTAGTTTCGTAACTTTTATAAATAAGCTTCAAAAGGGTTCATATATGAACCTGTTAATTAGTTCATATGTGAACTATTTAACTTATTCATATATGAATCTACAGGTTCATATATGAATCAGTTAATTAATTCATATGTGAATCAGTTACTTAGTTTATATGTGAATCATAATGTTTCATATGTAAATCAATTAAAATAGTTTATATATGAATTACATGAGTTCATATATGAACATATAATTCATATGTGAATCACATAGATTCATATATGAACTCATTTGCTGTCTATTTTTGTAAAAGTTACGAAACTACCCTCTTTTTTTTTTTCCATATAGCCGTAATTTTTGACCAGTCAAATCCGATCTTAACCGTATGAAGGCTAAGATCACTTCTTTACTTCTCAAATATTTACTATTTCTCAAAATAACTTTTAGTTATATATATACATGTTATGAGTATGGTTCCGGTAAGAAGGGAAGTTATATTGAGAAGCGTATCTTCATCTTTGAATCAATCGTAATTGAATGTCAACATTAATGAGATGCATCGAGATGTACCGCATCAATTTCCTTCTAAAACGCACTTCATAGATGGATATAAAATTAAAAATAATCAAATGTTTAGATCTCTTCTTACATTTCTCACCATAATTTCTCATCTGACACCATCGTTTACATTATTGGGTTTTCGTAAATAATATAGTAAGTTTCTTAATTTGTGGTCCTCGTTTGCTCCCAAAATTACTCCACTTTGTTTGAATTACATCATTAACTTGTTTCTCTCTCTCTCCATCTATAATTGTATGTTATATTTATATTTATATATATATAATATGTTTATATATAAGAAAACCATATATATCACCATAAATTAATATTATATATATATATATATATTGGGTTCACATGAGACCCGTAAAATCATTTTTTACATTTGAAACTTCACATTAAAACACTGTGAAGGTAAAAAAATCCGAACCTTCACAGCAAAAACATTGTGAAGGTTACATTAAAGTTTCAAGTGTAAAAAAGTGATCTTACGGGTCTCACGAAAACAGGCTAATCTCACGTCATCCCAAATCTCTCTCTCTCTCTCTCTCTCTCTCTATATATATATATATATATATATATATTTTAGAGGAGCGATCAAATGCAAACCACTCAATTTGTACAAACCGTGCAAACCACTCTCGTCCGTTTATGAAATTGTTTAATATAGTGAAATTGTTTCATATAATACATTTTTTTGATGAAGTTGTTTCATATATGGTTATGAAATTGTTTCATATAATACTTAATAAAATTTTAATGAAATTGTTTCATGTATTTCTCTAAAATTAAAATAATAAAGATGATAATATCCATGATTAACATTCTCCACAATAAAAAATGATTAATCAACCTCTCATAATTATGATTAATTGAATGAGGTTTGTACGGTTTGTACAAATAACGTGGTTTGCAAAGTAAATCTTCCTCTCCTTCTCTCTCTCTCTCTCTCTCTCTCTCTCTCTCTCTATATATATATATAATTTATATTAACTACATCAACCCATCAATCGACACGTTTCATTATTAATTTCACTTATATTTTCTATAACAAAAACTTAAGCAATAAAAATGCATCCAAAATAAGCTTTCTTCTTATTTTTATCAAATAAACATAATTATAAAATTGGATTTATAAAACATTTAAAATATGTAAACATCCTAATAAAGCATTTTATACAATTAAACTATAAAACATCATGTCTAAAAATATTATAATAAATTTATTTGACGTTTTTGGTATTTTAATAAGTTTTTTAAAATATTTCTAAAATAAAGTGCATGTTAGTTATTTTATACGACATTGTTTGAAAATTTAAGTGTTAATATAACCATAAATGTTCTACAAAAAGTTGTTCGTATAACATTTTTTTAAAATATCATATAAAATAGCTAATACAACATTTTATATTTAAAACGTTTGATAAACCTAACGTAACATTTCAGATAGAACGTTTTGTGGTTTAATCCAAGTCCCGTAAATCATATTATTAAAAAATTTAAACATTTTAAGCGCCTTGTAAATTCGATATTATTGTAACGAGATTTTTTAATCAAAAAAGCAGTTGTAATTTCA